TGTGTAATGTATGAACTACATTTTTCTGTATCCTGGAGGCTACAGTCCAAGAGGGGGGTAGTGTTACAATGTCTAAAGTAAGCTATCTTAACATAGAATTTATTCTAATATTTACTACAAGGTTAAGTTCTTTGATTCTTATCAGTCGGTAATTAAACTGTGACTGTTTTATAACTTGTAAAGATCCGGCAATTATTGTATCAACCCTGTCGTCACTATTGTTCCTTCGGCAGTGATGTAACTTTTCTCTGCCGTCACTATTGTCCTTCCGGCAGTGATGTAACTTTTTACTAGCACTATAAAAGGGCTGGGGAATCCATTTTGGGGGTCTTCTATTTTTGGGAATCGGATATGGGAAGTTTTAGAAAGATAACTTTAAAACTTAGAGAAACGGGAATTTAAGGGTATGAAAGTTTGGACTGTTTCCTCCAACATGTAAATAACGTATATATTTGTGTATATTGGATTTATCTTGTATATAATCTGAAACAAGAAGCCTCGCAATGCGACGAAAACCAGGTTTTCAACGACCAAGTTTTGATGTGACAGCAATCAATAGGTCAAAGTGCACTGAAGTTATTGAGTAGATATTGAATATTCTATTGTAAGCAAATTACCTTGACCTTGCTCCCAGATATCTAAGTGGCAATCCAAAGCTGCCACTCAGCAAGTTTGGTGACAAAAGGTCAAAGCAAACTCAAGTTATAACATGAAAACTAAATGCATTAACCTTGATCACAGACACCTGGGTAGCAATCCCAAGCTGCATCTTGATATAAGCTACCCATTCATCAAGTTTGGCGTCAATAGGCCAAAGCAAACTCAAGTTATTGAGCGGAAACTGACTTTCTATTTTTAGTAACAGTGACCTTGACCTAGATCACAGACACCTGGGTAGCAATCCCAAGCTGCCTCTTGATATAAGCTATCCATACACCAAGTTTTGTGTCAATAGGCCAAAGCAAACTCAAGTTATTGAGCGGAAACTGAATTTCTATTTTTAGTAACAGTGACCTTGACCTTGATCACAGACACCTGGGTAGCAATCCCAAGCTGCCTCTTGATATAAGCTATCCATACACCAAGTTTGGTGTGAATAGGCCAAAGCAAACTCAAGTTATTAAGCAGAAACTGAATTTCTATTTTTAGAAACAGTGACCTTGACCTTGATCACAGACACCTGGGTAGCAATCCCAAGCTGCCTTCTTGATATTACCTATCAATACATCAAGTTTGGTGTCAATAGGCCAAAGCAAACTCAAGTTATTGAGCAGAAACTGAATTTCTATTTTTAGTAACAGTGACCTTGACCTTGATCACAGACACCTGGGTAGCAATCCCAAGCTGCCTCTTGATATTACCTATCCATACACCAAGTTTGGTGTCAATAGGCCAAAGCAAACTCAAGTTATTGAGCGGAAACTGAATTTTATTTTTAGTAACAGTGACCTTGACCTTGATCACAGACACCTGGGTAGCAATCCCAAGCTGCCTCTTGATATAAGCTATCCATACACCAAGTTTGGTGTGAATAGGCCAAAGCAAACTCAAGTTATTGAGCGGAAACTGAATTTCAATTTTAGTAACAGTGACCTTGACCTTGATCACAGACACCTGGGTAGCAATCCCAAGCTGCCTCTTGATATAAGCTATCCATACACCAAGTTTGGTGTGAATAGGCCAAAGCAAACTCAAGTTATTGAGCGGAAATTGAATTTCTATTTTTAGTAACAGTGACATTGACCTTGATCACAGACACCTTGGTAGCAATCCCAAGCTGCCTCTTGATATTACCTATCCATACACCAAGTTTGGTGTCAATAGGCCAAAGCAAACTCAAGTTATTGAGCGGAAACTGAATTTCTATTTTTAGTAACAGTGACCTTGACCTTGATCACAGACACCTGGGTACCATTCCCAAGCTGCCTCTTGATATTACCTATCCATAAACCAAGTTTGGTGTCAATAGGCCAAAGCAAACTCAAGTTATTGAGCGGAAACTGAATTTCTATTTTTATTAACAGTGACCTTGACCTTGATCGCAGAAACCTGGGTAGCGGTCCCAAGCTGCCTCTTGATATAAGCTACCTACACACCAAGTTTGGTGTCAATAGGCCAAAGCAAACTCAAGTTATTGAGCGGAAACTGAATTTCTATTTTTAATAACAGTGACCTTGACCTTGATCACAGAAACCTGGGTAGCAATCCCAAGCTGCCTCTTGATATAAGCTACCTACACACCAAGTTTGTTGTCAATAGGCCAAAGCAAACTAAAGTTATTGAGCGGAAACCAAAAGTTGACGCCGCGCCACCCGCCCGCTTGCCGACTTTGGCATTACAATAACCCGGTTTTCGTTGAAAACCTGGTTAATAAAAAGTAGCTTAGAAGAAAAATGATTTATTTATTATGTTATGCTACAGATTGTTTAAATAGTAACTGCTCAAATGTCGAGCTCGTGGCAGCAAATCCTATATGACCAGTTTTATAAAGGTCTAATAAGAGGCCCAACTTAAAACGGTTACAATATATGTCTGTCAAGGTAGCACATTGTTTATATAAAAAAGTCCTGGCACAAATTGTTGGGCTAACAAATGTACATGTTTGATGGTTCGTACTCCTCCCAACTCGCCCCATATATGGGATGCAGACTAGTGGCTTGTCAAATTGAAATTATTGTATTTCATTAATGAAGATTTTGATATAATTATATAATTGTTGAAAAACTGTACTACATGTATATTTCTTCTTAACTTTATTTATTTTAGACTGTGACCAAATGGTGTAGGAAAATGTAACTACGCTGGCGGTCTACTTTTTTGTGTTGAGGACTCCAGTCGAAAAAACCTACAGAAAGCCCCTGAAGCAGTAACCTGTACGGGAAAACTTAGTAGTTGGAATGTTCCCAGAGCCCTAAAAGTACATTCAGCCCCACTTCCAAATATGAAGATAAAAAAGGTACATATTGGAACAGCAAGAAAATATACAGTCAGAGTCTGTGACTTTATACGACCCTCGGGCTCCGGTTGACAGATATCTCGATATCCTGGCATTGCGTACTTTGTATGAGAATTTAGAAAATTGTATGCCGGCATCTGGTTTCGTTCTTTTTCATGAAGAACTGACAGACATACTAGGTGAAAACTTGCCTGTTTGTGATAATGTGGAAGTGGTATCCACACACTATAGTGAGAAGGACAGGGGAATGGAGATATTTTCCGACCAGAAATTGTTGGACATTTACCCTGTCAAAGGTATAAGTCTGCCCAATATGGCCAGTAGCATGGATATAGAATTTGCTGTTGATGATTATCTAAGCAAACTTAAAATTGATGAAATGATAATTGAAGCTGTTGAAATGAGAACAAAACAGCAATCAAAAAGTGTTTTGTGACAGAATCTTAGGAAATTCATCCTTACCGCTACAAACTTTGGTCAAAAAATAAAACGTTAAACAAACCCAGATGGACTTATTAAGCAGTTGTTATATTCCAGCTTCTCATGGAAAGCTACCACTTATGGGTCTGAAAACGAAGAAAACGCAATTCTTGCTTATGAGAAACATATGGAAATGTCTGGAAATGCTGTCAAAGTTGAAAAAATGGGTTTACAAATTTGTGACAAGTTTCCTGGATTAGGTGCCAGTGTTGATGGCAAAGTGTTTGAAATATCTACAGATAGCTATGGATGTCTAGAAGTGAAATGCCCTATATCTAGAGCTGGACTTATTATTGAAGAAGCTGTACATAAACAGCCATTTTGCTTGAAGAAAAATGATAATAGTGAACAGATCTCATGATTACTTTTACCAGGTTCAAGGTCAAATGTTTGAGACAGGGCTTAAGTGGGCAGACTTTGTTGTTGGCTCAATGACGAAAATGTTTATGTGGAAAGAATTTTATTTGATGAGACAATGTGGAATAAAATTTCACTTCCTAAATTAACTAACTTTTACAGGCAACAGTTTATTCCAGAATTGTTGTCAAGGCGAGTACAAAAACAATTATTAGAAAGATAAAATAAAAGCTTAAAGGACAATAAAAGATAGGAGTGATTAAATAGGAGGTTGGTTATAGTACATGGACATATTTTGGTGAAGTGCTTAAGTTTTTGGATAGTTATTGCCCAATTACAAATTGAACTCTGTAATCAAGAAATGTTTTTAGTGCACAAAAGTGTATTTAGAACTTAGTATGTTATAACTTAACATAATCTTTATTATTTATGGGCACTCATTTTCGTGATTTTAGTGAATTAACCTATCCACGAATTTAAGATCCACAAAATTTCATGTTGTCTGCTGTAAGATTATTTTTCATCACATTATTTACATTTGACCTTTAGAAAAAATAAACAGTCCACGAATTTAAAAACCCACGAAGATGTTATTTCAAATTGTGACGAAACCACGAAATCTCAAGCCTGCGAAATTCAGCAAATTAACGTATTCAACCATGAAACAGACACATTAAGATCACATCAAACACCTTTATTCTTAATAAATAAAGGTGTTCACCTGGATTTTATCAAGGTAAGATACAAACATAAAAAAATAGTCTTTAAGTGTATAAAGCTTTATCTAGTAAAAATATTATGCTGCTATCTTAAATAAGGTTTCTGCCGTTTAGCAATTATTTTATGAATGCACCAAAAACATATTTCTTTAGCAAAGGTATTTTAGTTGTATTCTTTTTCAACTTCAAACAATACTTTTCACAGCAGATATATAGCTTTACACACTTTAAAGAATCACAGAAATAAGTTAAACATAAATTATAAAATATTAAAAACTTTAACTTAACAATTTATGGCAGATAACTTAACAAATTATGGCACAGTATATGAAGTCAACTCATGGCACTTTATCAGAAAGGGAATTATGTTCCGCCCTTTTTTTCGTACAACTTTACAACCAGTCAAGGGAGGTTATTTCCAAACTCTATTTGTACACAAAATCCTCACTTCGCTACAGTTCTGACACTGCCTTTTACCTCTAGAAAGGCAAATAAAAGATTAGGAATTTAGAATTTCATGCATTATTTTGCTTAGAACTTTTTTTCATTTCATAGTAGATTTCATTATTCTACAATTCTAAATTGAAGGGAAAATCCAAAGTTCCAAAAGTATTAAATGCAGTCCTAAAGTAATGAAAAAAAATCCTTATCATCTAAGATGGCACAATATTATAAGTTATGGCACAAAAGAAACAGAAGGACTTATCTTCTTCCTAAATATGAAATTGTTAACTGCATGGACAAGAGATATAAACAGTTTCATGATGGGACTATACATATTGAAAACTAAACAATACAATATATTCTACCTACATAATAAAATCTTAGCTTGCCTCATCCTAATTCAAACTCTGTATACCTGTAGAAAGAGTTCTACCTTCATCACCTCCCACTGTATAAAGATCTGCTTCTTCAGGTTCATTCACTTCTTCACTTTCTATTACTTCGGTATTTTCATTTATAGCTTTATTACAATTTACAACTTAATGTTTTTGGCTAACAATGTCTGGATTTTGTTGATCCTTTTCTTCACTGACAATATCTTGCTATACTGTCTCTTCATGTATAGTATCATCAACACTATCATTGTCATTATCTACATCTTCATTGACATCACTCACACTTTCATGGTTAGCTTTGCAAATAATCAGCTCCCCATCTTCTGTTTTTATACAAAAGTCACTTATGATACAAGTATCACCAGCATCAATGTCACCTTTGTCTATTCGATCAATTTCATTATTGCACAAATCTGTTTCAAAAATACCTATAGTTTGATGTATATCACTTCCAGTTGAAGTATTATCAGTTACAGGTTCAATAATAGCAACATTTTCTTCACAATGATATTCAGGATCTATAACTTCTTCTTTCACAATTTCAGAAGCATCGTTTCCCTCACCAACAAGCATGTATTGAAACTGATCATTTAAGGAATGTATAATACTGTTTACCATACAAGCATCTGCATGATCTGGAATAACAATTTCACTGTTTTCAACAATATCTTGTCCACTTTCACCACTGAATGTTTCATGCATGTTTCGAGAGACGAAAATTTTACCACTTATGTCAGTTATACTTTTGTCTTCTTCTGCAGTTTCAACAGGAAGGGACGCCCTTTGTAGCTTCTTTTTTAACCGCCAAAGTCTCGTCCGTTCTGACTCCCGCAATCGTCTCAGTTTTTGCTCTTTCTTGGAGAGTTGCGAAACAGGAATATATCTATTAAAGAAGTAATTAACCTTTTTAATAAAGCAAGAATTTGAAAGTATTTTGCTTATCAGGTCATAATGCATTTTTTCAAACTGTTGTACATACATGATCAACCTTTAAGCCAATAATTTACAAAAGATTAAGTTCAAAGAGGGAATTACTTTGTAATAAAGATGCAACAGTTTTTATATGCATTGTGGGTAATGAAAAAGAACAAATATTTTATCTGAGGAAAGAAACAAGAGGGCCATGATGGCCCTGAGGTCGCTCACCTGGATTTAGGCCCCCGGAGCGGGGCTAGTTTAAACCCCAGGGCTTTTATTTGAACAAACTTGGAAGACACTCATTAGAAGATGTTTCATGATGTTAAGTTTTTACTACACACATATAATGAGAAACAATGACCTCCCCCTACCCCCCTTTGGCAGGGCCAATTTTAACCCAATGGCTTTTATTTGAACAAACTTGGTAGACACCCACAAAAAGATGTTTTCTGCAATCTAACCTCTAGCTCACTGGGATTTTTAAAAGAAGATTTTTTTAAGTTTTTACTATACGCATATAGTTAAAAACAATGACACCTTTGGGGCGGGGCCAGTTTTAGCCCCAGGGCTACTATTTGAACAAACTTTGTAGACACTTACTAGAAGATGTTTCATGCTTAATATCTAAACTCTAGCTATTTGGGTTTTTTCAAAGAAGATTTTTAAGTTTTTGCCATACACATATAAGGAAAATCAATGACCCCCCAGGGCGGGGCCAATTTTGACCCCAGGGCTTTTATTTGAACAAACTTTGTAGACACTCACTAGAAGATGTTTCATGCTTAATATCTAAACTCTAGCTATTTGGGTTTTTTCAAAGAAGATTTTTTAAGTTTTTGCTATACACATATAAGGAAAGTCAATGACCCCCGGGGCGGGGCCAATTTTGACCCCAGGGCTTTTATTTGAACAAACTTTGTAGACACCCATTAGAACATGTTTCATGCTAAATATCTTAGCTCTAGCTCTTTGGGTTCTTTAAAAGAAGATTTTTTAAGTTTTTACTATATGCATATAGGGAAAATCAATGACCCCCTGGGGCGGGGCCAATTTTGACCCCAGGGCTTTTATTTGAACAAACTTGGTAGACACTTATTAGAAGATGTTTCATGCTAAATATCTTAGCTCTAGCTCCATGGGTTCTTTAAAAGAAGAATTTTTAAGTTTTTACTATATGTATATAGGGAAAATCAATGACCCCCTGGGGCGGGGCCAATTTTGACCCCAGGGCTTTTATTTGAACAAACTTGGTAGACACTTACTAGAAGATGTTTCATGCCAAATATCTAAGCTCTAGCTCTTTTGGGTTTTTTAAAAGAAGATATTTAAAGTTTTTTTTCTTTCGGTAGCCATGGCAACCAGAGTTCTGCATGGAATTAAATTCTTTGAACAATTTTTAAAGGTGACCACCAAAGGAACATTCCTGTGAAATGTGGATGAAATTGGCTTAGTGGTTTATGAGGAGATGTCATTTGAAGCAAAAGTTTACGAACGACGGACGGACGGACGCCGGACGAAAAGCGATCACAAAAGCTCACCCTGTCACTTTGTGACAGGTGAGCTAAAAATGATATAGATAGAGTACAAGGTTTATTACAAAACTATAGTAAAAAAAACTTTTGTCAGAATGATCTAGACACATGTATGAGGAAGTCTCCACATACACTCGTATTTGTTAGATTGTATATGAATTATAATGAAAGAATACAAAGGGTATCATAGTTGCATATTGTCAAAAATGGAAGGTAAAAAAAGCTAATGAAGAATATTTCTATAGCATCTAATTAAATCTACCTCATAACAGATATAAACAGGTTTATTTTGATTTCTAAATATAACACAGCTCATTTAATAATTTATGTCTTCTTGATATTAACTCAAAGAATCAAAGAGGAGTAACTTCTCAAGTTTCAACAGTGCAAGGTGAGATGAGTTATTGTTACTGTTTGTTCAATTTTGTTATGGTTAGTTCTAGCTGAAACTTTCAGATTTTTACAGTATTCGTAACAGTAATTTCCCCAATATGATATTTTTATGTTTTGATATTTTTACTGTTACCCATAAGCCTACCTGTTATTTATATACTGGTACTCAGTCCCAATTACAATTATTTATAATACTGCATGTTTGTAATGTCTCTCTTCATTGGATAATCATGATGTTTATAAAAAGTATATAAACAGCTGCTGTCAATTTATAAAGTAATTCCATTTTTTTCTCTCTAATGAAGGAAGTTTGCTTTATTAGTTTTACATTATAAAAAAAGATGTTAAACAAGAGGGCCATGATAGCCCTGAGTCGCTCACCAGAAACAACTGCTTTTCAGTGTTGGAATGTCAATATATTCTGATATCAAATTTGAGCATAGAATATGTTTAAACAATAATTTGAAGAAATGACATGACCTGGGGCATTTAAGCTTTAGCTTTATTGGGGCTAATCAAATTAATAGGAGCAAACTTGATAAAAGACTACCTAAGAATGCTACAAAGTTTGGTGATCATCTCTCAATTAATTCAGTAGGAAATGATGTTCGAAGGTTTTTTCTATTTTTAGCTTTAGTGGCCCCAAAAGGGGGTAATCAAATTAATATAAGCAAACTTGATAAAAGAGTACCCAAGAATGCTACAGACAAAGTTTGGTAATCATCCATCAATTGGTTCTGAAGTAGAAGATGTTTAAAGTTTTTTCTATTTTTAGCTTTAGCGGCCCCTAAAAGGGGCCACTCAAATTAATGTGAGCAAACTTGATAAATGATTACCCAAAAATGCTACAGACAAAGTTTTGAGATCATCCATTAATTAGTTCTGTAGGAGAAGATGTTTAAACATATTTCTATTTTTAATTATAGCAGCCCCTAAAAGGGGCTAATCAAATAAATATGAGCAAACTTGATAAAAGACTACACAATAATGCTACAGACAAAGTTTGGTGATCATCCATCAATAAGTTCTCTAGAAATAGACATTTAACAGTATTTCTATTTTTAGCTTTAGTGGCCCCAAAAGGGGGTAATCAAATTAATATAAGCAAACATAAGACTACCCAAGAATGCTACAGACAAAGTTTGGTAATCATCCATCAATTGGTTCTGAAGTAGAAGATGTTTAAAGTTTTTCCTATTTTTAGCTTTAGCGGCCCCTAAAAGGGGCCACTCAAATTAATATGAGCAAACTTGATAAAAGACTACCCAAGAATTTTACAGACAAAGTTCATGATCATCCATCAATCAGTTCTGTAGAAACAGTAAAGAGAAAATTTGCAGCAAGAGCACTGTATAGACCAAATTTAGGACTGTAATGATAGTTATACATTTGCATTTGTGATAACATCACTATTTTATCTAAATACATCAAATTTTTAACCAATTTAACCAATTTAATCTCTGAATACAGATTCACATTTGCCTTTCTCTTCAATTTTTGCATCTCCAAGAGGCACAATGCTATTTGCTTGCCGACAAATATAAAGTAAACGCAGCAACAAACCTTTTTCTCGTACGTTCAGCCTCCTTTCTCCGCCAGTCTGGGTTGTTTTTCATACGATCCCTGTAGCGCTTCTGACGATTGTTTTTCTTTTTAACTTGTTCTAAAACCTGGAAAAAGAAAACATAATGTGAAAACAGTTTATTATTGGTACTTAACAGTGGAATAAGAAAGCTCTTTGAAATACTTCCAGTCAAAAAAAGGTGCAATACTTGGACTAAAAATTCATGCTGATGCCTGGACCAGTTGGCTACCTCCCCTTTTTAACATTACATAAATACAATTGTATAAAAAATACACCGAGGAAATGGTTGCCTAAAAGTCATTGTATCTGTCTCTCGACCCAAAGATCACAATAACATTTACTCATCATATGACATCAGGACTGGTTTGTTCCATGAGCAAAGCTTCAAACTTTCACTATACTAACTTAAATAAATATATTTCTTCTAACACGACCCGCATTTTTCCCTATTGAGCATAGAAGGGCCGAAAGTGTGTGTTGTTATGCAATAAAATCACTGTTGACGTTCTATATTTAGTCATGTGACATATCCATTGGACATGTGGCGCAACCACTATAATGGGACGCTCTTAAAATAACTTTGGAAACAAATCAGGCGCAGTTTATATTAATATCGGGTATGGCAGAATTTATTTGTTGATGTCGTGTTAGATTTGAAATAATATAATCAAATCAGTGATTTAATTGCTTGATAAAATCACTGTTTGTCGTCCGGATGCGCATTATTATATCAGTTGGCCTTACACCCTTGTGATATAATTTCTAGTATCCAAACTCCAGACAGTGCTATGATTTTATTTAGCATTAAAATCCCTGGGATATATATTTCTTCTTAAATAGTCTCTTACTGACAATTTTTACCTTACATATTTCAGGTTCAGACTTGATGGATTCAGCTTCTTTCTTTAAGGTAGATTTACTTTTACTACAGCCTCTCTTGGCAACATTTTTTCTTCTTTCCTTTCCTGTACTAACAGAAGACGCAGACTTTGAACTTTTGAGGTTTTTCCTGGCTCTTGCACGTTCTTTCATCTTAAATTCTTCCAATTCCTCAAGGCTCATTTTTGCCATTTTTCTTGCCCTGTATGCCCTCTGAATTTCTGCTCTTGTTAATGGCGAATGCTTTCCTGCTGTAGGTTCAAGTTTCAATGTACATGGTTTAGCTGAGTCACGTATACTGTCTACTTTCACAATTTGTTTTTCTGCTACTTCTTGTGTAGTTTTGTCAAGTTCTACTTTAACTCCACTTGTTAATACATCTGATTGTAGTTTAGCTGTGTTTTTCCTTTTCCTTGGGGAAGTTCTTAAAGAGTCCTTAAATACTGGAAACTTAACAATTTTTTCTTCTTCAAGATAATCTTCGCTAGTATCTAATTTCAATCTACATGCCTTTAATAAAGATGTAGCAGAGGCTTTACCAGCTCTGCTATTCATTTTCCGTCTTCCCCTTTTCCCTTTTGATGGGGAAACACAAGCACTCTCTCTACATGTATCTAAATCATACGCTTGCAATGGTTCATTAGCAAGACAAACTTCAGATTTTTTCCATTGGCCCCTACCCCTGGAAGACCTAGGTCCAGCTTTTATTCCACATGACCTTTGTAATGATTGCCTTTCACTTTTTGACTTATTTCTTTCATCAGTATTTTTAGTTCTGCCTATGAGCTCAGAATGGAATGTTCCGCAGAACTCAAGAATTTTGTCAATTTTAAACATAGTGGCTAATTTCTGTACAGATTCTATAGTATTCTCTGTCAGTTTAAGCTCTCCACTGTAAACATACTGTAACACTGCTTCTAATGCTGAAATATCTGTCTCTACCGGCAGTTGTATGACGAGTCTAGTTTCATTCATGTTTAAAAATTCAGGGCTACATATAGCTAACACTATCTTATGGAACTGGAAAATAAGTTGAAATAAATAAATACATTGTAGTTTTATAATGATGGTTCAAATAATTCTTTCAATTTAATCTTAATTTTATCAACATTAAGTTACAAGAATTATCTGTTAGTGCAATAAAATTTTGTTTAACAAAGTTTATACCATTATGACTATAAGCTGGCATGTTAAAAGTGATTGTTGAATGTGTATGTCACTCTTCTAAATATGTTAAAAGATAATAAGATAATGAAAAACATGTTGACATTTCTACATTTTTAAACTTTGCTTTTCTAGTTTAAGGTCATTTAGGGTACCCAGTCAAATAAAGCTCATGTAAAGATAAAGGGTGAAACAGTTTACCAGTATACTGATATATTGCAATATGAAAAAATAAATTTCGTACTGCAGTACAATTTTTGAAAAAACATGTATTTTATAAAAATCATAATTTTCAATTTATACATGAAAAAATAAATAGATTTTTGGAAAACCGGTATTTTATAAAAATCATAATTTTCAATTAATTGCCTCCTTATTTCGTACAAATTTCGCGTAAAATCTTTCATTAGTGATTTTTTTTGGCGCCAACGTAAGATAAAAATATCCAACAACTAGTACACTTAAAAGTCAATAAGTGGTCGCGTATTTTACATAAGCGACCCAGATGTGAAAGGTCACGCGCGACTAGTTTTGTTTATCAAACTGTGTGACACTTTACTTTCTATTTAGTCCTTACATTTTTATTAAGTTTCTACTAAGAATATTTACATATAATAATAATATATAATATAATTATTACCCCATCTTTACATCAAAACATATACACGACAATACGTATTGCAATATATTGCAATACGCTTCAGCAAAATGGCAATATATTGCAATACGGTTTTTGCCGTATTGTTACACCCCTAGTAAAGATGCGTTAATGTCTAAAAATAAAGGTTCTCGTCAAATACAATAGCCAAGGTAAGAGCTATGCATACATAGAAAAACACATTATCATTATGTCAAGTAATCTATATATGCATAAAAACATAGTTACCTTAAATACTCTACTACCAACTTCAATGGATGCATCACAAAGTTTACCATTTCTCCATAACTCATATATACTTCCAACAAAGTTCTCCTGAAAGTCAGGATCTTTAAAACTTTCCTCCATCATTCCTGTGAAATAAAGTGTCTTCAAATGATTAAAACACTACCAAAAGATGTTTTCTGTATTATTTCTTTACTTCTAAACTTAAATAATTACTTTTTAGATGTATGATAATCATTTCAGATTTTATTGTGACTAGTTTTTCACTCCACTCACTAATAAATTCCATCAATTAATTATGCCTATACCTTTTCCACAAAGATATCTGTTCAATTAAATCTCACAAGAATCTATATTTACACTATTAGAATCTAAGGCCATCCTTAAAAAAATGTTTGTTTGCAGTAACGCGACCGACTCACAAAATTTGTTCCTACTCAAATTTTTTTTCGTGGTCTGGATAAAAAAATATTTTTTTATGAATCAGAAAATTATGCCTTGTGCTTAAAGGTTAATAGAAGAAATAAAATGTAGTTCTTATTAAATTAGAATTCAGTTATCAATTTATTAATTGTTACCAGATTATCAAAGCATATATTGTCCAGCATTTTCAAATTCCATGTTTATTTGGGAGTACAGTTCAATAAAAAAAAAAAAAACGACCTACCTACCCACCTTGAAAATTCTGGGTCCCGACCCAGAATTTTCAAGGTGGGTAGGTAGGTCGATTTTTTTTTTGATGCTGCAAACAAACATTTTTTAAGGACAGCCTAATACATTATTATTATTTGTGTACAACATCTAATCAATTGCAAAATGTTTTCTACATTTCCAAGGGACTTCGTTTTTCTGTCCAATCTATTGCCTTTTTGCTTTTCTGTTGGCTCTTTTCTTTATCAGATCATTGACGGAACTTTCTGATTCATTTATTCAAGTATCCTGTTTTCTCGTATTCTCGGGGGGTTAAGGACTAAACTTGGTTGCATAATATTTAAAAAACATTTTGTTACAGTATTTTTAGCCTGATACACGGAGAAATACCTTATTAACAAAATATAAAGAAAGAAAGATCGTAACTGTAAGCAAAACTAAAGATATTTCTGCTTGTATATACTGACCTTCACCATCCATGTGAAGCAGGTGCTTTCTCGTATTCTCGTGGAATCTGATTGGTTGTTAAGGCTCGTCGCTATGTGATGATTTTATTCTACAGACCAGTTCAAATCATTAGTGCAACTCCTGATTAAGTGTAAAATGGCTTAAATCTGTAATTTTATTGTGTTTTGATAACAGCTTGGCAGGCCATATCAAACTTTTAGGAACATATTGACGCCTCTTTGGTACGAAATGATTTTGATTGTTCCAAAAATAGTTTGAACTCCATTTAGTGATGTTATTTACATAATCTCTTTAATATATATTAAGTTTACGTTCATTTATTAGTTACTTATTAGTTATATGAGCATTAAACAATGAATACTACTGTTTTCCATTACAGTTGTCAAAAATGAAATGTGTTTAGGACGAAGAATTGTTCATTATTGGTTTTTAATTGGAGTTCATATCTTTTTTATACTATCTATTCGTGGAACAAATATTTTGAGCTGTATTGTATAAATAGTAGTGTGAGACCGTCATTTGATGCGTCTTGCGTCAGAGACCCGCTACAGGTTTCTGCAACATGGAAAAATCTAGAAAATTGATGATTTTTGGGGGGAAATTGATAAATTTATTGTTTATTCTCTGGATTTTACGATGAATTCCACAGTTATTTTGGTTTTTTATCAATTTTTGTCGCATTTCTTTTATTTTTTTAATGGAGATGAACATGCTCTGCTAAATAGACATGTTTTCGGATATCGACGGAAGTCGCGAGCGTCGCTTCCATCCGTTTTAATTATTCCACGAGAATACGAGAAACCCCGAGAATACGAGAAACAGGGATAAATACATGACATATTTCTTATCATATCACAGTTTTATAGCATGCTTTTCAACTTTCAGATATATTCCTATGTACATCAGACTTTTTCTATGCATTAATTTATACAGGAAACCAAGTTAGACATGTCAAATAAGTGGGTGTCAAATTACTTCAAGGTATACGTGGGTGGGGTCCTACAAGGACGACAAAAACCCAAACAGCCGAAGTTCGTTTATCCGAATACATTCAACAAATTTTGTATTTACGTTTAATTTTTCAAAGAAATATCGAAACCAAACTATCACCAACATTATCAAATATTATTAAATAACCAAAATTACCAAATGTGATAATTCGAAACCCTGTCGTTTGCATATAATCATGATTTCTTCGTGCAAAACTTTTAATGCATGTGCAAAATTAAGTGTCTAAAAATAATAACATACCGTACCATACCGACGACATGTTAAAATTGCTGTACCATGCCGTACTGTTCCGATAAATAATCGCGATGGGAAAGGTACTTCAACTTGGCAGTTTCAGCTTATTTTTCATGCTCATTAATAGATATTCATTCCACTGTCTCCAAAATGAGTATAATTATATGCTTTGAAAAGTATATACAAAAATATTGATAATGTATGCATATACCCTCAGCATATTGAAGGGGCTATGTGCTCTTAGGTCTGACTTTTAACTCTAGTTATTTCCCTTGGCACTTGCAAAATTACATTATTCAAGGTTAAACTAGATTCATATTAGACATCTCAATTATATTTATTTAGTTCATTATGTCTTCCTAGGTTGATGTGATAGTAATGCTAACTTAAACAAAAAATTGTAGCTAAAAATCAAATGAAATATATCAGTCAAGTTTAACAAGAAATTACCGGGGAACATTGAGATTTGATTATTTTAAAGCCGTTAATAAGGGCCCGTTCTTTAGGAGCAGTTAAATGGTTCAGTCATCACTTACAACCACAGTATTGCCTGTTGAGCATGTCCCATGCCATTTGGTGCCAAAGCAAAACCACAGATTGAGGTAAAAGCTGGGTTTATTTCTTTTGCAATATATCCTGCACAGGAACTTGAAATTCTATCACTATTAACGATAATATGCAATATACCCCTATAGTTGTTATAGTATATAGGGTATATTGGATATTATATTAATATGGTATTGATAGATTCAAGTCCTGTTATCTGTAATCTTAGTGATGGTGCAATGATACAATAAGAGCCAGAAGGTTCAATTTTATATTAACCTCTTTTTGACAAGATGGGCTAAGGTCCCCAAGTAAAAGAAAACCAACATTATAAATTCATGTCAAGATCATGCATGGCCATCAAAGGTCATTTTTGACATCATGTACAAAGTGAAACAGTGGTCCATCTTTATGATTGGTGCAAAAACTAGAGAGTTGGTCACTTTGACATCTCGGAGGTCATCAAAGATTAAAATTCAATATATCATTCAAATTATTAAAGGTCTAAGTTTTAAGAGACATAGCTTAAAGATTAGAAAAATGGATGCTTTGTAATGTTTAAGGTCATCCATTGTCCATTATTGTTCCAAACACAAACTATGTGGACAATGTACATGAAATGAAAATTTAAAGCTTGAAAATACCAAAAGAGGACAGTCCATGTAGGCCATGGTCACATTTACTTAAGGTTAATGTTTATTTATTTTTACAAATTAAAAAGAAAATTACTGAATTCAATGAGTGAGGTTTTTAATCAGCTGTCAGTTTTTGATATGTATTTTTATCATATAAAATGAGTGACCTGCATATGGATCCAATTTTGACCGCTTGACCCATTTTTGGCAAGGACCACTAAGTGTTGTCAACTATCATAGTTATTGGCTAAGTATATAGTTCTAGTTTCTGATAAGCAGAATTTTAAGACTCTTTGGTTCAACAGAAAAATAACATGAAAAATGCAGACTTTCTTTGATTGAATCTGTTCAAGAAAGGAAATAAAAATTTGTGGCACCTCTCACACACATTTAAACCACTTTTAAAAGTATTTCAACTACAACAATAAATTTGTTGGAATTGACGACTGTGGAGGACCACTGAAAAATAGCAATACTGAAATGAAGTACATATTCATGTATAAGGCAACTTTTTACAGCTTCCAGCAATTTACCTCAAACTGGTGACCACAGAGATTTATCAAGATTTAAGGATCAAAATCAGGATCAAATTTTACATTTCAAAATTTCTCCATTGTTTATTCTTTGCAAACATGGAGCAAGTTGTTGCATTGAATCAGTAGGATAGCTGGTTAGTGAAAACATGGCTGAGTTCCCCTCCATCCCCTATACCCTGCTAGGAGTTGGGGTTTCAAATGACAGGTAACCCATGCCCTGGCAATACACTGGTGGCAAAGGCTTATCTCAACCCACACCCTGACAATACACTGATGGCAAAGACTTATCATAGCCAAGCCCTGGCAATAAACTGGTGGCAAAGGCTTATCATAACCAATACCCTGGCAGTACACTGGTGGCAAAGGCTTATCTCAACCCATACCCTGACAATACACTGATGGCAAATACTTATCATAACCAAGGCCTGGCAATAAACTGGTGGCAAAGGCTTATCTCAACCCACACCCTGACAATACACTGATGGCAAATACTTATCATAACCAAGGCCTGGCAATAAACTGGTGGCAAAGGCTTATCTCAACCCACACCCTGACAATACACTGGTGGCAAAGGCTTATCATAACCCATACCCTGACAATAAACTGGCTGCAAAGGCTTATCACTACCTACACCCTGAAAATACACTGATGGCAAAGGCTTATCACTACATACACCCTGACAATACACTGGTGGCAAAGGCTTATCATAAACCATGCCCTGACAATACACTGGTGGCAAACCCTTATCATAACACATACCCTGACAATACACTGGTGGCAAAGGCTAATAATAACCCATGCCCTGGCAATACACTGGTGGCAAAGGCTTATCATAACCCATGCCCTCACAATACACTGGTGGCAAAGGCTACTCATAACCAATGCCCTGGTAATATACTGGTGGCAAAGGCTTATAATAACCCACACCCTCACAATACACTGATGGCAAAGGCTTATCATAACCCATACCCTGGCAATACACTGGTGGCAAAGGCTTATCACTACCTACACCCTGACAATACACTGGTGGCAAAGGCTTATCATAAACCATACCCTGACAATACACTGGTGGCAAACCCTTATCATAACACATACCCTGACAATACACTGGTGGCAAAGGCTAATAATAACCCATGCCCTGGCAATACACTGGTGGCAAATACTTATCATAACCCATGCCCTCACAATACACTGGTGGCAAAGGCTTATCATAACCAATGCCCTGGTAATAAACTGGTGGCAAAGGCTTATAATAACCCACACCCTCACAATACAATGGTGGCAAAGGCTTATCATAACCCATGCCCTGGCAATACACTGGTGGCAAAGGCTGAAAATAACCCACACCCTCACAATACACTGGTGGGAAAGGCTTATCCTAACCCATGCCCTGGCAATACACTGGTTGCAAAGGCTTATCATAACACATGTCCTGACAATACACTGCAGGCAAAGGCTTATCATAACATACACTCTCACAATACACTGCAGGCAAAGGCTTATCATAACCAATACCCTGGCAATACACTGGTCGCAAAGGCTTATCATAACCCATGCCCTGGCAATACACTGGTGGCAAAGGCTTATCATAACCAATGCCCTGGTAATAAACTGGTGGCAAAGGCTTATAATAACCCACACCCTCACAATACAATGGTGGCAAAGGCTTATCATAACCCATGCTCTGGCAATACACTGGTGGCAAAGGCTGAAAATAACCCACACCCTCACAATACACTGGTGGCAAAGGCTTATCCTAACCCATGCCCTGGCAATACACTGGTTGCAAAGGCTTATCATAACACATGTCCTGACAATACACTGCAGGCAAAGGCTTATCATAACATACACTCTCACAATACACTGCAGGCAAAGGCTTATCATAACCAATACCCTGGCAATACACTGGTCGCAAAGGCTGAAAACAACCCACACCCTCACAATACCCTGGTGGCAAAAGCTTATCATAACCCATGCCATGGCAATACACTGGTGGCAAAGGCTTATCATAACCTATGTCCTGGCAATACACTGGTGGCAAAGGCTTATCATAACCCATGCCCTGGCAATACACTGGTGGCAAAAGCTTATCTCTTCCTGTTCCAGCAGGCAAAGGGTTAATAAACATATTTTTGTTTTACTTTGGACTGGAGGTAAGAATTATAAAATGTATAAGCTTAAATTCATCATTCTGTTCATCAAATATTAAGATAAATCACAAAAACTCTCAAATACAAAATGTAGCTCTAATTGAGATGTTAAAACAGATAATTCTCTGACAGTTATATAGATGAAATCATTTCTGTTTTAAGAACAAAAAAAAAAGTGTCAAATTATTAGCTTCATGGCCTTACAAATTATCAAAGGACAGAAAAACCTCACACATTTATAAAGTAATTTGTGAAATTCCTAAATTAATTACCTCATTTTAGGTTATGATAAAAGCTATTATAAATTTTTATTTGAATTTGAAAATATTTCAGTAATCTTTAACAGAATTAAGCAAAAAAAAAATAAAATGAAATAAATGTTGAACTTGAATGCACCTAGGTCTGCTGAAATGATCAATTTATCAAATAATCTTTCAAAAATGCATTTTGCATTTTGTCGTCTTATCTTTTTGTCATTATTTGAAAAGTTTTTATCAGTTTTCGTAAAAATTCTCTCCGCCCTAATAAATCATTAATTTATCGAGCCATCTTTCACTTGAAATATTTATCTATTTGTCACGGTATTTTGATTTTTCTCATTGGTCGCATACACAAGAAATGTTTTTGATCGTATCTCGCCAATTACTACCATAAATGGACTCTTATCAGAAAAGAAAAATGCCGCTCTGTCAGTTTTCTATTGAATGTATGTTTATAAATGAAAAAGACTCGTTTAAAAAAGTATGTATAGATGAATGTGGCTTGAACGTAAGATGGGACCACACGATTAGCTAAAAATTGTAAATGTTGTCTGAAGTCAAGAGAGAAGTAAACAAGCTTTTAAAGAATATAGAACTGTAGGAATATGGTACAATGTATATAACAAAAAGATCTTTTTACATTGATAGAAAGCTATATGACTATGTTTCATTTTTAAATAAAAAAAACTTTTTGTATAGACAAGGGTGGAGGAGGGATCTAATGGTTAAATTTACTGGCTTCCACTTCTTTTCTTTTACCACATTATTATGAGTACAGAATCCAGCCAGGGACTTTTAATTCTTAAATGTGAGGAATTTTATCCAGCTATATAAAGACAATTTGGTGGTGGCTGAATGGTGCTCTGGAAAATTCAATGTTACTTTACTGTCGTGATCCAGAGTGAAAACTACCAACATCACCACCTGCCTGTGCCCGATAAAATTGTGATAACGGACATCTGAGGTCTTCCTCCCCCAGTAAAGCTGGAAAGCCACCATATGGCCTAGTAGGATCTAGAAAAACTATACAAATTTACATCCAAATGTTTTATTTTGTATAAAACCTTGGTATATACATTTCCATTTTATTCAGCTTTCTTCAGTCTACTTGCTGAACAACCAAGCTTCTGGGAGCAAATCTGAATACAGAGTTGTCCATTACCCTATTGGTTATAAGGACTTAAACCCATGACCTTTAGGCCGAGGGACAGAAATATAGACCACCTGACATCGCACTCTCTCAAAATGCATGACAAAAAGAATTAAAACACTAAAGAAGAGATCAGTTTTAGAGTTTATTGAGATTTTTAATGAAAATCTTCAATATAATTATGTAATGAAGTACAAAACAATTGCACAATTAAAAATTTCATTAGATCATTATTACATAATTAACAATACATGTATATCAATGAAGAAAAAAACAAACAAACATACAAACATGAAGCATGTTAGTTCAACAGATCAAATATTCATGATGAAAGAAATAGTAGCAAATTTTTTTATGATTTCAGTTTTCCGAGAGGAGATTTGTAATATTCTTTTGTATTTACGGTATTGATACATTGTTAAATTATATCAGTCTTTGACTAAGTAAAACAATTAACGTAATCAACTGTGGTTACATCAGAAAATCAGAAATAAAATCTACCTAACAAACAAAAAAGCCATCTTAACTTTATAAAATTATTATTATGTCAAATGTGAAATTCTTTTCATACATATATATATATATTTATTTATATATATAATAGAGCAAAAAATTACAACATTACAAAATTGCTTGTTTCCTATCCACCATATTTTCCTTTTGTATATTTTGAAATTTTGTTTGGATTGTAATACATTATTAAACATCATAATTGTTTCCTGTCCGATTGGTTTATAGCTAAAAATGCAGTTTCAATCTTAAACCATAGTAAAATAAACAATATGATTTATTTATAATCGTCCTTAGAAGAATAGGAAACAAACATTTTTTTTAATTTGGCCTAATCAAAATAATAATGAGTAAAGAAATTATGCAAAAGTGAACAAAACTTTAATTTGAGCGTATGTCAACAGAATTTGGTATACACAGTTAGTAAAGCTTCTATCTACCCATAGTAAGACATCCAAAATCACATGAAACACTCAACATGACTTGATTCATATTACTAAAGTCATTCATAAAATATTAACCCTTAACATCCAAATTTTTGAAAAGTGGACTTGTCCTTGTTTAAAAATTGGTGCAGTCCATTGTTGACATGAGGGGTTTCGATAACAAAATCATATATTTAGCAGTCAACAGTGTAATAAGACTGCATGGATGATTAAACATCTTTATCTTTAAAACATCTTTATTACAAATGTACTTTGTTTTATACTGATTTTTTTCCCCTTCATCATCAACAAATTAATACACATAAAAAAATATTTGTAATCTTTTTTCCCACACAAAATAAATATAGCTAAAAATAAATATTCAAAATAATTTTTGCCATTTATGTGTTAATTTTTAAAATTTTTGTAAATTTTCATGCAGTCCAGAGATTACAACAATGTTGGAAAACAGGTCTTAACCATAGCCTCACTAAATATTTTAAATGGACTAGTCCATCTGGCAATCTGGACAAAATCATTTATCATTTTTATGGAAATTTTTCAAAATATTTACTGAATGATAAACAAACAGTGCAGACCATGACCGAACGGCACAGATATGCCGGCTGATCTTGGTCTGCACAGGTTGCATGGGTAGAATACGATGCCACAAGCAGGTTGATTTAGGCTTTAATGTATACCAATTAACATCCAAACAATATGCAACTATTTCTGCAACCATATGATACATTTATCCGATATTATGTCTGTCCGTCTTTTTTACTATTTTTATAGAAAATTACTCTATCTCATATACATATTTATCACTCTTCAATTTCATCATACAGTATATACAATTTCTGTACATATATACAGGATATATATCGTCTCTTTTATATATATATATAAAAAATGTACAGTTACTTTATACAAAATTAGTAAGTTTCTGAAAAAATACAAAAAACAAAGAAAGTCACAATGGCCATGCATCGCTCACCTTAAATATAAGCTCTTCATGCTTAGGTGAGCTAAACATTCTGTTAAACGTAATTAATTCACAGCAAAACTTAACTTGATTAAATTTTTGTCCTTTTTTATAAACACCTTTGTTTCTTATGTTCATTCTTATGTAAATATTCTAAATATAAAAACAAAAATTGAAATTTATTTTGAAGAATGAAGGTGAAACAAAATTTTGTAAATACAATCAATTAAATGTGTAATCAGTTTTAAAAATTTCATGATGAAAAAAATAAGAAAAGAATCTGAGGAATAGAGTAAAGGCAAAGGTAAGAAATTGCACGAAACATTTCTTAAATCTACTAAAAAAAGTATATTGCAATATGAAAATATATGAACTAAAATCATATTAGAATAAAAATTGCCTTTTAAATATCTAATTTTTTTGTCTGAGTAAAAAAACGTATAAATATCAAGAAATATTGCAAATATTACCTCTATATTAATTGGAAGAGGCTTTACACTTTCTGAACACCAGAAAGTAAGAAATCAAGAATTTTTTTTTCGATTTGGAATAAAATCATACTAAATGAAGTTCTGTAAATTATGCTTGTCTACATCCCAAATATATTAATTAAATGTTGAAAAATTGTGTCTTGGAAAAAAAAGGCATACAAAAATTTATCTTTGTCAATCTAGTACAGATTTGACACTCCTGATTTTGTTACTGTGTAATTATTACTAATAGATTAAATAAATTGTTTAGAGTGAAGGAAACCTCACTGTCTATACAAGTATATACAAAAAAAAATCCCACCCAACTAAGCTGTAAATCAGTAAATGTAACTTATATGCCACAGTTCCTATATTGCAACATATGACATTTTAAACACTTAGAAATATTTTCTTTACATATATGACCACCCCACTGTTTGACATTCACAGGAAAAAAAGTATATTTCATTGTTGATTTTTTTACATTTCTATTAAGTTTTTACCAAACCTTTTTTAATAAAGGTAAAGAGATCAGCAAAAGCTTTCAGGAAAATAACCGTAACATTTGATTCAGTGACCCGATGTTTATCAGTGAAATCAGAATCAAAATCTATTTATAGAATCTTTTTAAATTAATAATTTATTTATAGAATTTTACAGGTTAATGACACCTGTCATTTTCGTCTGAAAAGTTATAAATAATGAGTAAATGATGTCAATTTCAGATATTTTAAGATGAACAGTTTGTGACTTCTATAAAATAACACCAAAAGATAAAAAGTGTGAAATAAATAAATGGTGCAAGCCCCTCATAAATCAAAATGATTTCATCATTAGAAATATTGCGAAAAAAGTCTACATCAAAAGAAAAAATGTCTACTCAAATATATATAATATATAAAAAAAATCAAAAGTAGAAAACTTACATGACGTTGACAAACCACATAACTTCAATTTAAAGAATTTTTTTTACCCAGTTGTAAAACCGTAGCACCATGTAGTTAACATAGAAAAATAAACTAATTCTTAAAACTTGTCAATTTTCCATCTTTCCATCATTTAATATAAAATCAAAGCTTCAGCAAGATAATTTAAGTTCTATATAAACCAATTTTTGTCCGATTTGATTTGATTAAAGCAAGTTATCTGGGAATATAAAATTAATTAATAAATAATTTGAAAATAAATGCCATAAATTTTTGTGAAAAATAAGAGAAAATTAAAGAACATAGTTGATACTCGTATGGGACTTGTTATTCAAGAACATAAAGAAAATGACACAGTTTTTGGACTGTTCCAATGAACTGTTCCAAATCAAAAGTTTGGCAAATCCATTTCACAAATCAGCAGGTAAAGGGTGTTAAAGCATTGGTTTTTATTCTTATAATTTCACCTGTTATTTGTCGTCATTTTCATTTACAACTAAATGTTACATGACTGTAGTAGTTGTTATGATGTGGAAATTTTAAAGCTTTATACTTGAATTAAAAAAGAAAACAACTTTGGTAAGAAAGAGTTGCTAGCATACATGTTGCCCAGCCAACATGAACATAGGATAATTTTCTGGAATGTTCTATCTGTATTTAATACTGCCATCTATGAACATTTCATGTTCAAATTCCTTAAAATGAAAACATCCGAACTTAAAGTTACAAAAACCTACAAGATTTTTCCCCTTAAATTATCATAACACGTGAATTTGTAATTTCCCTAAATTAAAGTTTTTTTCATTATACATGTAGTATAAAACATATTATGAAATCATATATAATATTATGAATATTTAGACTTAAAATGATATACAAAAAATTAAGTAATTGGGACAAATAAAAAGTAAATGACTATAATAAATATTAGAACACAAACAACGCAAATGTTCAACCATAACCAATTAGGAAACAATCAGGACTTTTAACATTAAACAAAAAATTCCTTAACACCGATTTATGTTAACATAACAATTTAATAAAATCATTGTGTCTATTACAGGTCACTTGAGAAAGGTCAAGAGGTCACCCACAAATTATATGTGTGTACATACATGAGATATGTTTCCACAAATGGTTTATGTACGTAAACAAAAAATGTTACCACACAAATAGTATATGTGTACAAACAAGCCTCCTCTAGATAGACATCAATATGGTTTTGAAGAATTCAGGACTGACACTTTTCAAAAAATAATAACTAATTGGTATTTATAAAGAATTTTCTGACCAATTTCAATAAGCTATTTCAAAATATAATCCAGCTTTATCCTAGAAAAGTTAAAAAAGATTTTATTGAAATGATTTCCACTTTTTGCAAGTTGTATCTTTATTTTTCATTCTCTAGATATGAAATTTAACAAAAAAAAAAAAATTAAAAAGGCAAGTCCTGTATGTTATAATTTTATATGGCATACTTCATTAGTTATAAGAATCACAGACAATGTTTTTTTGTACAAAAAATGCAGATCTATTCAATGACCTCAAACATTGCTTTCAATGAGACAATTATGTCTTAGAAAGCATCAGTCCAGCACAAGACATGAAATGGGAGTCTGATACTGGAAGCTCTAGTTGCAGATGAGGCAAGATCTAATATATATCCACTTTTACAAGTCCATTCAACTTGTTTGTCCACTGGGTCCCCTTCATAAAGTCAAAAACCACAGTAATTCAGTTGGTGGCTAACATTTCCTGTCCAACCGGTTCCCTTCAGGAAGTCATGAATGATTCCTGGCATCAGATACTAAATAGGTAAGTTAGTCCTCTTACACCTTAAACCCATCGAAAAAAGCTATGTACAGGCAAAAGCACTGCTTTTTCTTAACATATCACATTTTTTTAGGTACCTATAATTGTAGACTGTGTCCATAACTTCTTTTCCAGGTTAGCACATTTTGGTGTCAGGCTGCAGATACTGTGATCCAGTCTGCACAGACTGGTTAATAGAATTTCAGCCTGAAAAGCAGTTCTGAACCACGGAGGAAGCAGCTCATTGTAAAACCAGTCAATATCTGGCATCTTTTGAAAAGATAAATTTGGAAAGCACAGCTTTTTAATGATATAATTTATAGCCATTTGCATAAAATCACCATCAATGGAATGACTTCATACACATTCATCAATTCCAAGCATTATCTTTCAATTTTTTTTTTGGCATCCATCCATTCAACAGGTGAGCAAACAAACAAACTGATGAGTTTAGAATAGAAATCAATAACAGATCATTTAAAGCAGATGATTGTTTCTATACGAAAATGAAGCCACTGCTACCGTTGTATCAATGGAACGTTTAGGTAAAGTATATGTAATAATGAAAGACAAAGGCTGAGCACTAGTGCCGACGGCACGCTTAAAGTCTGTGCACTAGAAATATCTATAACTCCTGTATTTCCTCCAGGCGTGTCTGGTACAGTAATAACTGGAATGTCTGAAATAAACAAAACCAAACAAAATTGTTATTAACAATATTAGAAAATCAAACAAATATTCTTATCAAATTTTCTGTGCTACTTAAAAGTATAAAAGGACTAAGTCTAAATTTAGCGTTCATTTACAACTGTCATAAAAATAACTTGGCTGAATGAAAAAAGCTTTCATTTGTTTTTAATAATGAAATAAATCCTGATGGGAAGTGGTGTTACATGTATATTGTGGTTAGTGTGTCTGCTTCTCAACCAAGGTATGGCGGCTTTGAACCCTAACAAGGTCTCAAGCCAAACCTTTATGTCTCACCAAATTTCAAATAAAATAAAATTGCACTACTAGAGAATAACAACTCAGTATTTTGTTTTACCTTAAGGACAGGCCACGTGATGTCTGTGACATCTATATGAATTAAAATAATCAAAAGAGATAGATGGACAAGAGCTAGACAAAAGAAAATCTGGAGGGAAATTACTACCATAAATTTGCATCTGTTATGAAACAAATTAAGGCACTTAATCTCATCAACAAGTCCCTAATGGCGTACTCAAGAAAAACAATCTAGATAGCTTTAAATGGAGACTTATTCAAAATTGATTTTATCAAACTATGCAATAGATCTACAAGACTTATACATAAATAATAATGTACTAAAGTTGCAAAAGAATCGACTGCTTCTTTTTGTGTGACAAAAGTTGACAAGTCAAGTACATTGTATTCTTCCAAAATTGACAGAATGCATGAATCTTACTCAATTCATTATTTGAGGCACCAGTAAGCAGTCCTATGTTATTTATATGATACTGAAGCCCCTTAAAATAATAACTGAAAGTTCCAAATTCAAAGTGGAGCATGTTATTTCACAAATGTAATGGTTTTAGGTATATATCATAAGATAAACGCGGGGAGGGATGGCCTAGTGGTTAAGGTGTCTGTCTCTCAACCCAGAGATCATGGGTTCGAGCCCTACTCGGGTCACAACCATGTTTCTTTATATGACACCAGTACTGGTTGGTTCCAGGAAGCGGACTCGAAAATGATTAATATAAGTTGCAAGAACTTGTTTCGCAATCGAGCTAAAATAAATATGTTTAAACAGATAAACACAGATTTAAAATAGATACCTGTAGTTCGAGGTCTTCGTGACGTTGTTGAAGTCGTTGTACTTGGTGTTGTAACTACTGTCGTGGACCGTGTTGTATACTTTGTTGTTCTTGTTGTTCTTCTAGAAGTGCTAGATTCTGTTGTTGAAACAGGCCTGTCGGTAGGTTCTGAAAACATATCATCAAATTAGCAACAAGTTTACTAGAAGAAGCAATATAATAACAAGAAGATCTCAATTAACTGCAGTTACTTTGTCAGAACATGAAACTTTCTACAAAAAAACTCCCAAGGGAAGTATGAATATAAATGCCGTTTGTTTTTTAATTAAGTTGCTTTTTTAAATCACATTTTCACTCTTTATAAGGTCACATGACGTCTTTTCAGTTTCACAAAGTACCCCTTCACATCCGAATTATTTTGCTCCAGAGTTGCACCTGAACCATGGACCTTTTGTAATCTAGCTTAATTATGTTCACATATCAAATTGTTGATACTCACAAGACTGATATAAATAAAATAACTTACTTGGAGTAGTGGCCACTGTTTGATTCAAAATTGTTATATTAAGTCTTAAATTGCTTTCTTTGCATGCCCCATATAATTCATTTGTGAAGCCATTCTTTGTTCCTGTTGAAAATGCTGAAAAGCAAAAACAAACAAATTGTAAATTAAAGATCACCATAAAAACAGGACTAGATTGCTACCAGAAATCTATAGAATGATGGTGATTAAAATAACTCCAATTATGGATCAAAATCATATGAAACACACCGTAATTGTGTAATTGGCTCTTTATTTTATGTCTTGAAAGCTTTTCTTTATTTTTATTTCTTTTTACTTTTACTACACAGAGTTTGTTCTTTTTCCGAAAAAGTTGGTCTCTGTAATAATATTTTGGGCAAAGTGGGCACCTCAGTAGAACCACTTATCTTTTGTTAGCTAAATGGACAGCTTGCAAATAAAGAAGAAATCAATGTACCCAGCCAGATTCGAACCCACAACCATAGGGGCAAGTTATTGTAAGTATCAAAAGTATTCAAAATGATCTCCCTAGGTCACTTACTTGCTATATAATAATTTTGTCCAGGCTCAAAGTCTTTTCCGCCAGGTACTCCACTAAAACGTTTAAACTCATATGTAAATGTAATTGCTTGTGTAGGGTCATCACAATCAACAAGCAGCTGAGAGTGTTGCGGTGGTAAAAAACAGCCATTAAAACCCTCCTCATTAACCTGCAAAAAACAATAACAACAACAATCAATTAAAGAACAAAATATAATAATTATACCATACATTTCATATTTTGATAACTATATATATTTTACTAGAATCAATGTTTTTATACTAGATCATAATTATATTCATTAGTTTTGTTATTTTGTTATTACAGACACATAGATAACATCAACATCTCTGGTAATTAAAAAATGAAGATAAAAAATGCTTTTTTTTTTATCAAAATATCAAAATAAATTCAGCCTTTGCTATATCAGAAGAACAATAATTCAGTTATATTTGCATGGTTTTGCAATAACTAAAATGTATAATCTCCATTAGTTTTTAAATAGTCAACTTACCCAATAAACTCTGTAATATTCAGCAGGTGTAGTGTTAACAGGACAAAGTATCACAAGATTTGACAGAAGGGGAATATTCATATGAGCAGTGCCCTCTACATGAAACCTGAAAGAAAACAAAAATAACTGCCTGAAAATACTTTACTCAAGGGACTGCACTCTACCAATCTTCATGTAAAAATTTTAGGATTGTCCCCCTTAGGTACTTTTCAAATTAGAAACCACACTTGTAGCTGAGCTGCTAAATGAGTTAGGAATACATCATGTAAATTAATATCTAATGTCAGGCTAGGGGCTGATTTAAAACACATTCAGTTGCAATTGCCCATAAATAAATAACTTCTGGGAGATTTGGAAGAAATTGCAGGAAATTTCAATCAATGATATTGAACATGTTCAAGTTTCCAAATTGTCAATTTGAATCAAATTTGCAGAGGAATGTTTTTTGTTGAAGATTTTTGTCTAAATGGTATGATTTATCATTTATTGAATAACATTAAATTAAATTGTTCTCTCTGTGATGAATGTGATGGGCTCCCAGAATAATTTATGGTGTTACTGTAGCGACATTGTTGTCATAAATGGTAAACTTCAGTTTTTAAGTCAATTGTAAGGGAAGACAGTGGAATTCTTTGGCAATTTTTCAAATACAAAAACCCTCTAAAATTTCTTTGATCTATATTTAATGGGGAACATAAATAAATAGAATAAAGACAACATCTATTATGAATTAAGATAAAGAATTATAGATTATAGCATTTATCAATTATCTTTTAATAACAATTGTATATGTTAAAACACTAATTGGTAAAAATATTTTATGAGAAGTCTTTAAAAAAAAATTCACCATGCATTAACAATATCATATTTTTCATTTTTCCATACAGGGATTCGAACTAACAGTGTTGAGGGGTTGGGGCTTGATCTCAGAGCTTATAGCCAAGTGATTCAAAATACCTAAATTACTTTGCCACAATCATCTATCCTAATAGACTTGATTTTTTCTGAACACATTCAATCATACTCATATTTTTTTGTGTACTAACTTCAATGCACTAAATGTTTTAAATTTTTTTTTTAAATTAAATCTAACATTATTTTTATTAATTACATTTACTTCAGCTGAAATACTTTTAAGAAATGCTATATAGAGAATAAAAAATAAATCTATAAGAATAGATTAGTATGACAGATGTGAGAAGACCAGTTTGTTCAAAATCAGTGACATTTTACAAATTAAAGATAGCATTTTTTCCTAAGGAAAACAGTGACTGTCTCACACTTAACAGTTTTTTCTCCCTAATTTGCCTATTATGCAATCAAGTTTAGCTGCATCCGGAATTTTGTAATTTTCCGATCAAGCGCTCCTTTTTAGGGAAGCATAAAATAATTGTAACGCTAAGTTTGTGCTATCAAAAGATAGTGCGTTACTGCATTTTAAATGGTACTGTCACGATTTGTCTGTATAACCAGCTAATCTTTAGCAGTGTCATCCAGAAGCTTTACAGAGATAAATGAAAGCTTCTCTAAGACTCAGAATATCATGAGTGACTCAAAAAAGATTGGATACTTTTTCATTTTCATGAAAAAAAACCCCACCAAACAAACTAAAAGTAAGAAACCATATAGAAAACAAGAGTAATCTTCACAAAGAAAAGGGTCAACCAATCAATTGACATGGATTTGTAAGAAGCCTTCCCAATCGTCATATGTAATGGCAGATTTTCAATGACGAAATCGTGGCAGAAAAATTACTTCAAACCGACTGTCAGCATGTCAAGAAAACGTCAGTTTTTTCATTTAGATGAAGTTCACTCTATCTGGCTTGATGAACGCAATATAACGAAGAAACATAAAATATTAACCTTATTGACAACTGTAATTCCAAATTTTACGGAACTAAATAAGGCCAATACTTAAACTGACATAAAACTAGATGAAAATGCTCGATTAAATGTTTTTTGCAATAAAGTTAATCAAAATAGGATTTGTAGCGATGAAAACTTTCTGATCTTAAAGAAATATCGAGAATACAAATTCGCCAGAAATATTTTTTTTCTTGTTGCTTTGTTGTTAAATATGAAGAAACATTTTTTCCTAAAATTAGACTTTGCATTTTTATTGAGCGATTCAGAAGTCGTACAAACAGTATATTTATTTTCTGTCACTTTGAAGCTAATCTTTGCACTGATACAACAATATTCCCCCGAATATTTTGGCAACAAAATGCAATTACCAATGCAAATGTAATAATACCGACATAAAAAATATTTCATTTTTGACGGAACGCTAGCTGTAAGCCAATGATTTATGTTTGCCCAGCTATCATTTAAATGAAAAGTGCTGTTCCCTTGAAATGTGTTAACTCCTCCTAAAATTGACCGAAACTTGAAAAACGAATTCTCAAGCCAAGAAATAATGGAGGCCCATGATTTCAGTTTGAAAATGGAATAAATACATATACATATAACTTAACTTAACCAAAGATACACAATTAAACATTACTTAGTACAACCATTAGTGATCAAATTATACTCGTTATTTTATATTCTACTGACTTATTTCGATATTTATTTTTTGATATGTATAAAGCCATTATGAAATTTAAGTTCAACGTAAAAGTAAAAAATTTATGCTATATAAATAAATTGGGAATAAAAACGGCATCAAGAGAATTCTGGTAAACATCATTATGGTGTCTGAAGGTATCATGTACAAATACGATCTTCCGATTCTCCGTAAAATTTCATTATTTCAGCCATTATTTCAGAATTCATCAAAAACTGACAATTGATAGCACTCCGTTACTGATGATTCGTCAATATCGTATCAGGTCACAAGACCTTCCCATCAATCACCAGTGACCTTGACCTAACAAGTTTGTATTTTTTTGGGATATTGTTTACCGAGTAAATATTACAGCATGTTTAATATATAAGTTATCTTTTACATCAGAAAGACACAAGCTTCCAAAAAAGAAACAAGCTTGCAAACTTCCAAGCCGCCAAGTATTTTTTCTTCTCATTTCCGATACATTGACCATTATACTTATTAAGTTTTAACATGGATTTTTTAAGTTTTTGAATGACATAGATTTTATTTTACTGGAAAATTTCAAAGACAAATACTGTTCTCTTAAATTTGTATTAAACATTCCATTTTAAATTACATCAACAGTTTAAACATTTGGGGGATTCATTTTACACCAGCATTGACGAAAAATAAACCATATCGTTAAAAGAAGAAAAAGAACAAAATTTCTCTCATAAATAACATTCAACTAGAGCAACTTTCAACAAAACCAAATCCCTCCGGAATCTTCACATACAGACTATTCGAACAATCAATGCAAATAAGCCAGAATATGCGACTGTTCATTTTCCATAATGTAATTAGCACCAAATTAAAGGACTGGGTAAGGTAATTAATTCAACGAGTTAGGGAAATATCTCAAACTCATTTAAATTTGTGCGATGCAGACCGAAGCGTCTCGAAGCAAAATTAGATCTTCGGAGTTAAACTCCATGAAAAATCGCTGCCGCTTGAACAATTTCTTCATTTGCCTCTGAATAACGCGCTTAGTGGATGCCATTTGAGAAAATCGAGATTAAAAAAATATTAAGTCTAAATTACCAATGTTCAATGACTAATGTTTTACCACACATGACTGATGACGGTAATTATTGACAGATACTTGTGTTTTCATTACGATCACCACATCATATATTTTGCTGTCCAAGATAGTTAATCGCTCATCTGAAATGAGGCTAAAAATACCATTAACAGAGATAAGGACGTGTAAATAATGCCTATATATGGGCTGATATGCCGCTAATGGGGAGTAACATCAGGGTAATAACAAGAAAATGGTCTACGGCTATTTACTGGCCTAGCTAGGTTATTACTTTTGCATAATATCTATAAAAATATTGTTGACTCGCTTATTGTAAAAGGCTTTGGAAATTATTGTCAAGGCATATTATTCCAAAGTTAATGCAATAGCAAATTGGCGGGAGTAATTATGCATGAAATATAATCAGTGACCTTTAACCTCAAAAATCAACTTTGCAGTAATGGAAAACCAACAAATTTCAACCATTGCTGATTATCAGCAGTGAGATCTGATTTGTCAAATGTGTTTAATCTGCATGCAGTCATGAGGGAGGAAGGACAGTTGTAATTTTTCACCGATTTTCACCAAAGTTGCTATAGTAACACCTGGGTGATAATCACTACCTGTCCATTCGTCTGCCCTGTGTTACCTGCCTTCTTTCAAGCAGATGCCATAGTTGTTCGAAAATCCCTCTCCAAAATTACAGGGTCAGCAGCGAGTTGCCAATGGGGGTGACAAACTTTCTATTATTTTTCACGCATTCAGACAAAGCCATGCATTAAGCTTTTAAGGTCAGCAGAAAAAGTTTCCGGTGGTGATGAAAAAGCTAATTTAAATGATAATTATCCTTTTTTTTCTATCAATTATTGACCAAGCTTAGTGATCAACAAGATATGGAGAATCCAATAATAAGATCAAGATAATATACAGCGGTTAACGAAAAAAAAGATAATTTTCATGTATATTTAACCCTTTAAGAACTGTCAAATGTCTTTTTAATTTTTTTTTGCTGAAAAATTGCTCTCAAGTTAAGTGACCACAACTCTCAACATAATTATGTATTATAAAGGCTTATATAATAAATTAACTTTGTTTATTTCAATTTCATCAGTTATTTATAACCGGAACTGCGGGTCAGTCACAATACTTAAGGTAGAAACATATTCTAAGCCTGTACAAATCTTTTAATTATAAAAGAAATAAGAAAGAATTCCCTAGTTTCGTTGTCATGTCTTTCATCGCAGTTTATATAAGCCTCCGTAATGAATTTCTGGTCTGTCGGGATGTACTTGATTAGTCTGTATCACCTAAATGCTTAGATATAGAAAACCTGTAAACCCCCTGCCTACTAATATGCTACTTTTTGCAATATTCAAATGTACGAGAGTTTTTATTCTTTTATACTTTGATCCATGTAGGGTGTCTGGCTGTATCTAAAAATATTTCTAGACTTCAATTCCAACCTTACATCACAAAGCACTGTTTCCAAAAAT